GTTCTTCACATACGGTAGGGTTATTTGTTTCTTCGGTTGTCCATCTGTCCTTTTATGTTGTTCTGTTCGAGTTATTGTCCGTTTGACGAAGTTGCGGGTGTAACCGTTGCAAAGGAATACTTGATAGAGGTATTCCCCTCTTGCTGCCTCAACTTTTCAGTGCTACAGTGTGTTTTGGCCCTTTCGAAAAGTGTCCAACTGCAACTCTTTTTGTGACGGGTTGGGTGGTTGCTGGTGTATCCCAGGATTTGATCCGTGTGGGTCTTCTTTCTGTACACTGATGTTTCTAACGGGCCGGACAATGATCTTGTTACTAGGACATCGAGGAATGCCAATTTGTCATTTTATTCCGTTTCCATGGTGAACTTGATATCTGGTGTTGAAAGTTTTGACCACTTCCGATCGCTTCAGGATCACGAACGTGTCGTCTACGTATCTAAGCCAGAGTTTAGGCTGGAGTTGTGGTAGAATTGTCCTTTCGAGTTTTTGCATTACGGCGTCAGCAATAAATCCAGAAATTGGTGAACCCATGGGTGTTCCCTTCACCTGTTCGTAGAAACCACCGTCGAATTCGAAGTGTGTTTGTAAGCAGCTCACAGATATATTTGTGATCCGATGTTTGATGTATCTGTCATTCCTCTAGCAGCTCCTTTAGGGTTTCCCTGACCAAATCGAGGTTGCTGGAGGTGAATAGAGAGGTGACGTCGAAGGATATTATTATTTCATCTGCGTCAACATTTATATTCTTCAATTTCCCTAGGAACTGTTTGGCGTTGTTGATGGAATGTTTGTAGCCGGCGATGAGAGGTTTGAGTCTCCTCCACAATCCTTTGGCCAGTTTGTAGGTTGGTGTACCGGGAAGCGAGACTATTGGTCGTAGGGGCACATTATCTTTGTGTATTTTTGGTAGTCCGTAGAATTGAGCCGTGTCTGAGTCGTTTGCTCTCATTCTCCAGTGTTCTTCCATGCTAATTTGGTGCAGCTGTTCCAGCCGTTTCAGCGTTGTTTTGATTTTGCTGGCGAGTTTTGAAGTTAGATCCGTGTTCATTTTGCGGTAGGTAGTTGTGTCCTGGAGTAATTCGTTTGCCTTTCTGATGTAGTCTGTCTGCTAGACGGACAGACAACCAGCGGTGATGTCTGAAGACGGGGCAGGATTTCAACCGGCAAGCGACCTGAAAGCATTTCTAACTTTTTATCTATCGACTCTGACTTGTATCAACCAAATTTTATCCCGAATGCAGCATTTTTTCAGGGTGTCTGGTTTTTTCAACTTGCACCACGCTCTCCGTTTTCTCACTATCTGATTTTCTGTTTTCGGCTTCACAAAACAGACCTTCGTAAACAACTAGACTAGTCTGGTCCTGCACTGGTATGGTTAATACCAGAGTTTCAATCAATAAGCGTGCCCTCCCACTCACTCCCTTGGAAGTGTGATTGATGGTCTTTGATCTTCGCATTGATTTTTTTCCAAGTCGAATGTTTTCGTTGTCTGATCAAATTTTCACATGCATCTTCATAGGCAACGGAAGAGATAACGTGAAGCTGTTGGATTCAACGTGTAATATGAAATATTGTATATATATGTATGTATTTGACACCGGTTTAGGAACAAGCATGGTGCCAACACTGATAATAATGGTAGATAAGGGTACAAAAAGATTAAATGAAAATGGGGGGAAACAGAAAACAGAGATAAAAGATAAATAATTTTTTGATAGTTTCACCGCACACTTTTGAAGACTTGTCTGTTATGGGGAATGGGGTTTCGCCAAACAAATCCCACAGCAATAGCGCCACTGACATCTATTCTGAGCCGGCAATCCTCATCCTTTGGGCCCCAGCCTGGTAGGCGGGCTGCACCAACCGAAGCCAATACTGAGGCTAACTTCATATCTCTACGCCAGGCCATGATGTGACGGCCCTGGCGCTTCTTCCAGCTCTGCCCAACACATGCAAAGAGAGCACCGAAAGATAAACGATGGGCCGACACGCAAACACGATCAACTCATCAGAGGCGATGTAGAGCTATTACCTCCGTTAGATGACGACTATCAGTACCCGGCACACGTCCTCGTTCAACCGATTTCCTCGGCAGACCTAAGCAATGCTTCGAAGGCATCGTTGGTCAAAAATGGAAAGTTGATTAGCGTCCTTCACTCGGAGGGGCCAGGATGAACTGGACGCCGGCCCCCAATGGATTGCGGTTTTCACATACCGTCCCGCTGCCTTGGAGGTCAAGTTTCGGCAAGCCGAAGGCTCCGGTTGTGAATTCCCAAAGAAGATTCACCTGTTTAGGCCTGGGCAATCTCACAGTACCGCAACCGCATGTAAATCTTGAAACACTTCTTTTTTATAAAAGGTCATTTGTACCGTGATTTATTTGGCACATTCTGGCGTCAGACGTGTGTGAAATATGTATATACCATGAGCACTTTCTTTGATTTTTTTTTGTTTAAATAAACAAAGTAGATGACGTATTTGACTATGCTCAACGACAATCTCGCAGCTTTTAACCAAGTTTTATTTTTCTACTCCGTTACCATGCCACTGGGTTCCGACTCTCACGAACCTCAAATTCGATCGCTTTTCCTTTCCTCCCCTCTGCCCCCTCCTTCGTCAAACACACCCCTAGCTACTGATGCTGATGCGGAACCGAAATACCAAATTGTCCGTCATTCTCAACCATACGGAACCGTTTCTGGCGATTCCGGTCTGTTCTTCATTGCTTACGCAGCTAGCCCCGCGGCACTCGACTGGATGCTTGATCGTATGACCGGACATGGCGAGGATAAGCAATGCGATGATGTGATGCGTTTGACACGTTGTGTATCAGGCAACTATTGGTACTTCCCTAGCTTTGAAGAATTTCAACGAATAACATCTGTGTCTACTAGCCTGTTTAGCTTTTTGCGCTAATTCGACGTTCACCCACCCGTTCACGGATAGACCTTTTCGTTTAACCATTTCGACACTGGTAAGCCGCGTGAGCGGCTTACTTTCACTTTCCGTCGGACTTGTTCTCGTTTCGACTCGATTGACACAGATTATGCTGTCAATTTGATCATTCTGAGCCTTTTGTCTTCACCACCACCCTTCCTCCTTTGTTCGTGTTGTCCCATTTCTATCCTCCCCCCCCCCGGGAATCACGTTAAAATTCGTGTTGTGACAGTCGTTTTGCCCATTCGTATCCACATCTTCTCCGTGCACTCGGTTCTTTCCCGTCTATTTTTGCACTCTACATGTCGTGCAGTACTGTTGAGAATTGAGCAGAATAATTCATTACTTATTTTCCCAACAGCATTCCAATAATCACACAAGATCCGTGGATGGAATGGATCTCACTGAAAAACTTGGGCGTCGTGTTCATGATTATTGAGGAAATTAGCTTGTCTTAGCCAAGACGAATGAAAAATAAAGCACAATGGCGTTGGTTGTCACCAACGCCATTGTGCTTTGTTTNGGCTAAGACAAGCTAATTTCCTCAAGCTTTCCAATAAGTCTGTTTACATGCAGTGTTTGCGTAACCATCCATATACGCGTTGCTATGCGAGCTGTACAGAGTTAGCAGTTGTATAATTCCACAAGACAGTACCGGGACTAGGAGAATTGTTTATTGCGAACAACTGTAAGTGTATCACTGAGTAGGCGTACATACAACGAAACACCTGATTTGCAGCAATTGGTTAGTATTTTCCTTATCAGTGATCGCCAGCCTGACAGTCTGTTTGCCTCTGCTGTGGTTGCCATGGTAAATCTCCTAATCCACTAGCGGATGCCGTGGGATTCCAATTACACTACTAGAGTTTTCATACTTGACTGAATTAAGAGCATTTTTCCGACAACGGAACATATCGGTGGTGGTGACGCAATGATTTAGTCACTGTCACCGGCGTGCTTTGAACCCTGTGGTCTGAGGTTCGAGCCCCGCAACCCAACTTTGGTGGTAGGCAGCTTTGCTGTCGTCGGGTTCAATACCACGCCTAACATATCGGGGCCTTATGTGGTTCGCCACTCCAAGTCCCGGGTTGCCGGTTTACATCAATAAACAGCAGGTCCTTGTGACAATAGGGCTTCGCCCCGTCTGCTGTTCATCACACTGAAAGTGTGTAATAAAAAAATCAGTTCATGTTTCTGAATCCCTACCCGGTTCTATTAGCGTCACTAGTGGTGTTCTACAAGAAGCTGTATTTGGTCCCCGACTTTTCCTCGCATTCATAAATGATCTATCGAATGTGTTAGGTGGAAAAACAAAACTGCTTACAAAGGACATCAAAATCTGAAATTCGGTAACAGAACCCGAAGACTCATTATCACTTCCAGAAACACTTAACGCAGCTTTTCAATGGTCCAAGGAGAATGACATTGCATTCAATCTTTATAAATTCAAATTCCTATCCCTACGTCACAAAAGTAGATTCTCGTATTTCCTCGGAAATCACCAGTTGCCCCATACCTCAACTAATTTAATTGTTTAAGAGGACTTAGCTGCTCGATCAAATGCCCCAGGTCTTCGTCCGCTACTGTGGGGAATGTCGGTTTGCTTATCCAAGTCTTTGGTCGAATTGAATCAGTGTTGTTTCTACGTTTGCTGTTAGTGTACATTCGACCATACACAGATTACGCCATACAAACTTAGAGTTCATGATTGCAACCTGATGGTAAGATGCTGAAGAGTCCACAAAGGATTTCCATCAATATGGTCAAGGAATTGAACTACCCCGCCCATGAGGAGAGATTGCAATCGTCGGGATTGTATTCTGCTCAGTATCGCCGAATTCGAGGAGAATCATTTTTGGCGTATCAAATACTGTCGAGTCCAAACCATCTATATCGGCCGCTGCATATATTTTCGCCCAGCATACACCTTAGGAGATATAGTTTCATGTTACTGATTGCAAAGTGTGGACTAGGATGCTAACGGTAATCTTTTCCAGTCAGAGTGCGCAGTACTTGGAATAACCTTCCATCTCACGTCGTTTGGGGACTGTTGTGTTCCAAGTTAAGTGTAGGTTGAGCACACAACGAA